TATTTTGAAGATGGTTCTTTTTCTGATCCGCTGATCATCATTCTGCTTCCACAATATGGAATGCCCAGCAGGCCTTTGCACGCACTTTTCAGCTTCCCATACCTTTGGATATGCTGTTCGTTCAGGAAGCCTTCCTTCTTCAGCATCATCCAAATGGTCTGACTCAAGCCTCTTCAGCTTGGAAACAGGCTTCCTGCTTCCTCCTCTGTGAGTCTGCTGTGCCTTGTACCTCCTTCTAGTAGAGCAAATTGTACATCTAGCAAGTGCTAATAGCAGTCTATTCTTCCTTCGAGCCATTTTGCTGAGGCTGGTTTGGCAGGACACCAAAGTGCATTCATTTCAATTAGGTAAAAAAAAAAAATCAAAGCCTTTGAACTTGAAATTGGCCATATAGGCCACATCAGTGGGTGGAAGACAGAGAAATGAGAAGTCTATTCAATGTAAGAGGGATTATTTTTTTCTTCAGGTAACTTTGGAGTCTGTGTTTTAATTTGTGGTTTTATGCTGGCAGACTCCAAGTGATTGAAATAATGGAGATCCAATAATCATTTTAATGTTGCAATTTTCTAGAAAGTCATGCTTTGGGTTGTAAATTTGGGAGTGGGAGAAAATGATTCTTTCTGCAACTCAAACAGCATCCTCTCAGAAAGGTCTCCTTTTGTCTAAACTGTCTAAACTTCCAACTAAATTCAACATTTTCTATCTCCTTTCTTTGCTTTATTTACCTTCTAGTTTTCAACCTATAATTACTCAACATGCTATGCACTTTACATATATTGTTATTGCCTTTTCCATTATCCCTAAACTTCTCGAAAAAATTTTGTTTGTTTTTCTCACTGTTAAGCAAAGAACAATGACTGGCATGCAATAGGAGCTTACTAAATATTTGCTAAATGAAGGACTATCTATGATTTCACCAGAAGTGGATGTCCCCAAAAGGGACTTCAGCATACATGTTGTGTGCACGTCTCTCCATGTTTCCTGGGCTGCCCATGGAATTGAGATGTTTTTGTGTCCACATTTCAGAAACAGAATCCTTTCAGTATTGTATAGCTTTGGCCTCTGGTATGTCAAAGAGTAAGGAGGCTGTGTAGGACCTATATCCACATTTAGCAATAACCTACTATACTTTTCTCCATTTTCAGCAAGTGTATGTTTATACTGATCTGGGATCTTTTGCAAAGTTTAATGCTTCGTTCTATACCTACTCCTCAAGCATATCTATTAGAAATGACTAAGAATGGAAAGAAGGAAAGGTATGAAGCCTAGTAGTTATACTGCAAAACATAGAGTCTGATTTTTGGGGTAGAGCCTTGATTCTGTCATTCATTAGTTTTGTGACCTTCCTCAGTTTCCTAATTTGTAAAATGGGAATAATAATGGGACCTATCTCATAAGTGTTATGAATGAAAGCATAAAGTGCTTATAAGAGTATCTGACACATAGAATGGACCATCTAAATGCTAATAATTGATATTATTTATCATTACTATTATTCCTGCTTGACTAACCACTTTGAGCTAAAGCAGTTTTTTTTACTGTACTTCTAGTAGTATGTTTAGACACTTTTAATATTATTACAACTGGGAGTATAGTAATCTGGCATTTTCTTAACCAGAATTCTCTGTGGACTGCCATCTATACATGCACAACAAAATAACATTTATAATAATACCGGGGACACCAAAAGACCTTGAATTAGCTTCTGAATCATCAAAGCTAAGTTACTATAGCTTTGGAGTTGAATGCATTTTATTATAAATAAATCATAAGCTTCATTTTTGAAATTTGGCAATTCATAAGTAGCAATATGCAAAACATTTTAACAAATTACATATTCTTGAATGCTAGGACTAAGAAAATAAGGCCAGTTTGAAAACTAGTGATATGCTTGTAGGTGAACTGAGCCTACTAAGATGGGTGCTGGCTGATGGCGCCCACTCTGTAATTTGAGCAACTACGTAGAAATAGAGAAAAGCGAGGCTTGCAATGGGCTGATGAGATCTCTGGGTATTTAGAAGTGACTACAGAGGTAAGCAGACTCTACTGCAATAAAAATTAGTATCAATAGAAATTGCCTCATGCAAATGGTAGATACTTAGGATTTTGAAGTAGAAGGCAGAGGTCTCGAAGGTACTGTCTAACTCAAATCTGATTTTTCATGTATCAGTCAAATTTAATTGTAACCCTATGTTTCTTGGATACATCTTTAATCCTAAGCCACAGGTCACTCACCATCAGTCTCTGTCCTTGATCTGTCTCGGCAACATTATTGTTTGCATTCTGACACATGACTGTGTCCAACACCAGTGGGGACACCAATATCCAAAGGAGGGAGTCATGGACAGATGGAGCTACTACTGGGGGAATGAGCTGTGTAGTTCTCCCTAAGTACCCATAGGTCTCTGGGGAGACTTGTGTAGGGGTTGTCAAAGGCAAGAGCACAGCAGAAGAGTAAGGGCATAGTGCATGGAAAATTAGATTAGGTGTGTGCAGAGAGGATGAATGGAAGAGGAATTAGATGCCAGGAGGGTGGAGAAAATAGGCAGTAGGCAGAAATAGGAAATTTTAAAACTTCTGAAGCCAAAAATTCTACATTATATGTGATTGACATTTGCATATATAATAGTATATGCCATGTATTAAGCAATGTAGTGTTAGTTTACATGCAGTTTGTTAGTTACTCTTCACAGCACTGCAAAGATATTATTCTCTTTATGTTACCAAAACCTGGAGCCTCAGAGAGGTTGCCAAAGGTTACAGAAGTAGCATTTAGGGATTGGGGATTTGAATCAAGGTGTCTCAATCCAATTCTTATGTTCTATGACAGGTAGCATTAGTTAAATAGGGCAGACAGATAACTGAGAAGATATCCAAAAATATCAACTATTCACAAGAGGCTAAAATCCTAAGGAATGGACCATGTAGTGTACAAAGAATGAGATTTTAAAAAGAGCAAAATTTTAAATGCTCCGATTTTACTGCTTCATTAGTTTCATTGGACCGTTAGTTGTACATTAGGTTAAAAAATACTGGAATAAGAGTTACTGGGACTAGAGATGATTGAAAGAACGCAAATACGGGTCAACGGGGGGTCAAGCTAGGAGAGGTTAGAAGTGTGTGTGTGTAAGAGAGAGGAGAGGAGAGGAGAGGAGAGGAGAGGAGAGGAGAGGAGAGGA